TGTTTGTGTCGACATTCTGCATGGAACCATCAATGATGATAATTCAGGCGTGCTACAGACGATATATTATGCCTGAGTGTCGTTATTTGGGTATCATTAAGTTGGGGAGTAATAGTTGTCTGTATGGTATGTGCTTCATTTCATATTTCCAGCCAATGGCTTATTTGTCCTTCACAGAACCCTCTCAGGTTCTGCTTGGGCAGATCAGCAATTGCAGTTAATCATCCTGCTGAAGGACACAGACCCTCAGGTTGTGCTTGGAGACTTTAATGGCCATAAACCACTTGGTTACAGAGTTGCCAGAACTTTGAACTACAAAAGGCATGTCTGACAGAATTGCATATCGCTCCACCTCGTTAATGTCATGATGTGAATGTCTTACTTTGTTGTCATGCACCGTTGGACAGCAAATTTCACCGAAGCGTAGAGTAAATGGACAGCATTTTTATCATGTGAATCTTTTTGAAAGCACACGGTGCCAGATGTATTGCCACATCACTTGCCATTTGTATTATCAGTGTGTTGAGTTCTACGCCTCTGTGCTCAGAGACTGCTTGCAGATTGAAGAAACTACCCACACAGAAGTCACGGAGCCATTCGGGGCAGTCAAGATGACACTTGGTCAAAGCCTTGAAGCCACCAAGCAGCCCAAAGCGTAGCATGCGGAGCAATTACAGATCGTCAGGTGCCTGCTGTTTACCATTGCCAGAAAAACACCCCCCCAGAAAGAACGGCCCCTTGTCCAAATATCCACCTGCACACAGCTCTCGGCAACTTCCTAATGTCAGTACTTCTTAGTGGTTTTTTTTAATCCCTTCTCGTCGGAGGCAGGCCATTTCAATCACTTCATATCACCTGCATTGGATGGACATCGGTGCCTGTTCAGAGACAGAGAGCGGCTCAGCAGAAAATGAAATGTCTGGAGTGAAGTCCTCTACTCTCAAACTTTTGGCAGACTGCCAATGTCGGGCAGTTACGGTTGAGTTTTAGTCTGGCAACACCATTTCAATAGGACCCTGGTTCAAGTTCTGCCTTCTTCAATGTCTTCACTCAACCTATACACTGAGTTTACGTTGGGAAATCTATTTCCTATTGAGGAATATTTACCGGGAAATAGATTTCTGTCTCCTTGGCAGCTCTGCATCGCGAAACTGGTCCATGGTTTTTGTATATCCATCAATGAGAGAATTTTCATCAATCTATTTTCAGCAGAGGACAAAAACAAAGCCTGGAAAACACTCGTGGGGACATCAGCTTTGATACTCTCCTCCCACCCCTACTGCCATCTCCGCCCCCTCCACCCTTTAAAAAGTGCAGGGTGGTTGTTGCACTCCCCAGTCTCTCGTCTTCGACCTCAGGCCGAAAAAATCATTCACCTCGTGAAGACTTTTGAAGAAAACAAGTTCTGTTAGCTGCATGGTTTGAGCTGGTTTACTCTGATGGATCCTGCTGTTCATTTCTCGTGACCAGCAAACAAATCTCTTTGGCGACAACAATAAATCTCACACCCACGTCGGGTCGTTACAATTTTTTTTTCTTTCTCCGGATGAACTGTACATGTACGTGATGTACTTTTGGTTTGCCCCGCACATTTAGTCATCATTTGATCGTCGAGAGTCTATCTTCTGGAGCTTTTCAGTGCAAGGATTTTTTTTAAAAAGCTGAGCGCATAGAAGCATTGCTCAGCAAAACTACTTCCAGTTCTCAGCGCATACATTTTCAGAGCAATGCGGCACCGGGCTCTGGCTAGCACAAGTAACCTTTGCTGTAGGACTAAAACAAGTCATTCTTTTACCAGTTTTCAGCAGTTGAAGTTTGTCACTTTCTCTTAGGTGGAAATCTTCAGTTTTGTTTGGAAATCTTCAGTTTGTAGTTTTATAAAATACGAGTCTAGAGTGAATTTCAAATTTCAGAGAACAGTTTGTGGAATTTCCCAGGAAGAGACTGATTGTAGAAGCTTGCAGTGAAAATGTATCAGTGGCTAGAACCTAATTTTGTCACCTCTCTCTAATCGTGGGCCAAAAAACCCCCCAAGAATTTCATGGACTGGTTGTTATGCAGTGCAGTGCACACGCATGTCATGGCCTATATACATGTGTCTATCCGTGCATGCTGTGTATCTTTTTTCAAGAGATTCTTCTCCGCTGTCCGTCCCGTTTTGAGCGGGGTCCATGCTAAGCAACATGGTCAGATTCTGAGGGTCTCTTGACACACTTCCCCCGAGTGGGCGACACTAGTGGGGCAGGTAGCCCAGAAAAAAAAAAAAACAACCAAAATCTCATTATGCTCGGGCCTGCCACAGGGAAATTAAACTACATGTGGGATGTGTCTGCAGGGGGGTCGTTTGCAAATTCAGGTTAATTTTCTGTAAGACATTTTTGTCACGGATTGAACAATGAAATCAAATCATGTAATCTTTACCGCCATTTACAAATGGTTTCTCCTTTTTCCCGGAGGATATTTTTCAGGTAAAACTTGGTCACATTTTAATGCTGGCTCAACGTTTTTCTCAAATCTTGTATTTCATGACCATGGGTATGTTTGGGACAATCTATATATCTTCTCAGGGGGGGCTTTTATTTTACTTTTAGTGACCAAACAGTGTAGGAAAGGCTAATTTGGGGTTTTCGTTTACCATAAATCACATAGAATGTAACATTCTTCATGGACTTTGATATCCAATTTTAAGTTTCCATTTTTTTTTTTTTTGGGACCATCAGGAGAGTTATGCCTGCCACTGCTGTCCCAGTTTCACCGGTCCCCACTGCGAGGAGTACGACGGGTGCCAGTCGCACCGGTGCGCGGCGGGCTCCACCTGCGTGGACAAGCAGCAAGGGTACAACGGCTATGACTACCAATGCGTCTGCCCGCGGGGCATGATGGGAGAGCGCTGTGAGCTGGAGGCGGATGAGTGTCAGAGCAGCCCCTGCGTGCACGGCATCTGCCAGGACCAGGTCAATGGGTACCAGTGCTACTGCACACCAGGTGAGGCCGACAGTGGATCCGGAGGCATTCACCTCCCCCCCTTGTTTTCCAGTTTTGTTTTGATTGAGATATCTCCTCCTGTCCCCTTTATCTTTCATTCCAAACTGGTTATTTGACTCTTTAACACACCAATTATCACAAAAGATTAGCTCAACTTATGTTTAGGTTCACCTCCAAATTGGGGCGCCCGTCTTTCGTTAGCGTCAGATACCCTTCTCTCCCCATTTCGTATATGTCAGGTCTTTTTCCAAAGGCTCTATCTCAGGCTGTGGATCAATTTCCAAAATGTGGCTTTGTGTGTCTGGCTGTGGCTCAGAACCATTGCTGGAATTCTTGCGAATGAACCAAACAGAATGTCTGCTGATTTGGGTTTCTTGTTCCACCTCTCTTGTGTCTGAAAGTTCAGGTGTGTTCTCTTTATGAGCTAGAATGATGCCAGAAGCCGAGATCAAGCCAGGATTTCAGAAATGGCCTTTGAGCCTTCAGGAATCTGGCGGCATACTAACATGTGTGCCCAAACTCGGGCCTCTCCACTTTCAAACCTGTTCTGCCTGCCGCTGATTTTGCATCGGGGTGACTTAAATTCCCGCAGCAGGTTTGGAATGCATAGCCTTATTCTACTCAATGTTCCTTTTCCTCGCAGGCTATACAGGAACGCACTGCGAGAAGGAGTACAACGAGTGCGTCTCCAGCCCCTGCCAGAATGGCGGGACGTGCCGCAACCTCCTGAACCACTACGAGTGCGCCTGCGGCCCGGGCTACACCGGCCTGCACTGCCAGACCAAGGTGGACCTATGCGCCAGCCAGCCCTGCAACAACGCCACCAAGTGCGAGGACCTCGGCAACACCTACGCCTGCCAGTGCTCACCCGGATTTTCAGGTTGGTGATCGAAAAGTGACGCCCGCTTTCAGTGGCATAACCAGGGGAGGAAATACGGGCCTTGACTGGGCTCTCTGTCCGCCCCTCCCACGCGGAATTCGGAGAGGCCAAAAACTAGCATCGGATTGTTTGAAACAATGTACATGTTGGGTACATGTATGCCATTGAAACCCCACACACACATGCACACACATGCACACATACACTGAGGCTAAGTAACTTAAAGAGCACCTCTAAGGAAAACATGTTTTCTCTGATTTTATCTGTTCAAATGAATACGGAAGCATCCAAATCGAATGCAGTGTCGGTTGTCTTCAGAGCTAAGAAAAACGCGAACACAGGACGAGGATTCCCCTCATTTTGTGTTTTCTCCTCAGTGATGAATTCGCATCTTGGCATGAAAAGAAAGAAAGCCCTTTTTAGCCTGTTATAGTTGAGCCCTGAAGGCAAGTGACACTGTGTTTGATGTGGATGCTTCCGAATTTATTTAAAGAGATAAAAATTGGAGAAAACAGGCTTTCCTTAGAGGTACATTTTAACATCCTGTAAAAGTAAGAGTGGAATCTGCCAAACTTCCTGAAATTATTTTTTTCTAATGTGATAAAAACCTGCTCCAAACTTAAAACCTCTCTCTCCCAACCTGTGTCCATCAGAAATTGTCAAAATAGATTTTCAGTGAAGTAGCATTTTAAAAACATGTCCTACCAACCGACAGGCCTTCCCCACCTTTCACAGTTTCATCTCAATTTGTTCCTTCCGGAATAAAAATCGTAAAGCAATAATGAGCCCAACTCATCCGCACAATCCTAGGATCTTCACATGCCAAGTTTATCCATTACCCTCAATCTGCAGACAAGCAAAAAATTAATTTGCATGGCACCTCCTCTATCCTAGCAGGAATAAACATAATCCCTCAAAGGCATGATTGGAACTTCCCCTGACCGTGTAGTGAGAAGAGAAGATTTCTGCCCTCAATCACTGCACCTCGGCTTCATTAGTGTTGCCATTTCTGTGTTGCTCGCTGCAGTTTCCCAGAGATCATTCATGTCGTAAACTTGACATCTTTGTATGAAACATGTATGTGTCTGGACGCTGTTCTGCCACCAACTGAAAAGTGGCCAGTTTAACCCAACCAGGATGTCTGCCTGATTTGAAAATTTAGTTTTTGGAGTGGGACACCACCCCCCCCAAAGAAAGTGGACTTCAATATCCTGGATTCCAAGATAAGCCACCTTGCTGATGTTGATTTTGTTGTGACTTTGGGAGTGATTTCCAGCCAGGCAGCATGCATCAGTCTCATGACTTCAGAAGAGTGGCCCTCCTCCCAAAATGAGTACTTCAACAGACCAGAAAAATGGCCCCAAAAGTTCAGAATTGCCCAGTTGATTTAGCACCGGTGCAGTGGGCCATAACAGTTTTCATTCCAGTTTTAACCAGTGGATCAGAAATTCCCAAGAGTACACAGTATTTGAGACAGATTCCTCAGTTAAATTTTATCTATGTTGAAAAGCAGACACATATTATAGACTACAAATGCTGGCATCAGATTGCCACACATCAAATCGAAACTCCGATTTCTACACATGTTCACACTTCCTCTGATCGACAAAGGCTTAAAAGAAAACGACGCAGTGGACATGGACTCTGCAGTGCTTGAGTCGAGAGACGGATCGAACGCCGTCAGAAAGCAACCATTGATTTTTCTTCCTTTCTTTTTTTTTTTCTCTGCCCTTCTCTTCTTCCTTACCCCCTTCATCTCACCCGCGAAAGTCCCCTCTCGCTGCGACCTATCGTTTTACAATTCAGGCAGGTCCCCGTTGTCCACGCGAAGTCGAATATATATTACCTGTGTAAACAATGGTGAGATGGCTGACATAATAGCCGACGGGTACAGCGTAAAGATCTGTTGGCCGTCCCCCAGTTTCTCTAAAAGGGATCGTCACAGTTAATGTGAATTGTAATTCAATTAACGACAAATTAGAAGGCATTGACGTGCGCTCGTGTTCACTTCATATCTGTATAATGAATGTTATGCGAGGTTTGTGGGGGGGGATTTGTGTACGTTGGCAGACGGAATATTTACCCGCTGCTAGGTCTTTGAGGTCAGTCCAGGGTATCACAGAGGTAAAAGATAATAAAATCTTGAGGGGTCTTGGAATATTCATAGCAGAGTCACACTCAGATTTGAGGGGCTTTCTTTCTCTTGGAATGGGCTGATAACAATGGAACAAGTAAATGTTAGGAGAAGGTTCTGGTCCGAGATGTTTTGTTTAGAGAGAGACATAGTTATTGTGGATTGCAAAGGTCCAATGAGAGGAACTCATAGAAAATGTTGAAATCCCACTCACAACCCTTTCCAACCCCAGCATATCGGGTCACACCACTCTGTCACACGAGTAAGCTATTCCCGTAAAAGCGGGCAGAAATCAAAAAACAAGCGTGTTCGTTTTCATGAACCGGAGCAAGCGTAATCCCAGAGTAGATTGCGTGTTTAGCCACGGATGTGATAGCTGCGTCCACCTACCTGACGAAAGCCAAATACCGAAGGGAAAAACCTCGCTGCGGCGATCAAGGCAATCCCATCTTGCCCAGGAGTGGCCATAATTGTTAACCTAGAATCCAGAGCATTTTTTGGGGGGGGTTATCGGGGAGACCATTAACTCTGAGGGATAATGGAGTTCTGATTGGACAACATATCAAATTCCACACACGGATGTCTAAAGCGACATCACAAGCGGCCCATGCTGTGTGCAAGATATATCACCCTCAACTCCACTGTTTTCTTTTGAAGCAGTAACAGATCCATGAGAATTTTAACCTGCTGTCTTGCGAGAAAGAGTGCTTTTCAACCACTGGTTCGTTCATCCAAATGTAAATAGATGTACATGTATGTTGGAGCAAATTGAAGGAGATCTAACGCGATGTCTGAAAGTCCATGGGCAATGGACCGAGCTTCTTTATTCACGTAATGGTCCGTAATCATATTGACAGAATCCCACAAGAATTGTCTGAAGAGTTTTTTTTTCCTTCAGTACCTTTGTTTTGGCTTCCATTAGAAAGAGGCATGTTGAGCTATTTAGTTTGATGGACGTACATATCTCTCACTATGGCTACTTAAAATAACTATCTGTGGGTGAAATGCACGTATGTTGAGGGTGCTCTTGATAGGTAAAGCGGAAGATTCTTTTGAAGTTTCAACTCTAAAGTGGTTCTGGCTTCAACTGTTACCTCCTTATGTCATATATAACGGGTTTGCCCTTACCCAACGTATATTAATAAACACTGTATGCTCAGTGCTTGTCCGAGAGCTTGCGAAAAAAAACCTCACAAGCTTACTCGGGTGGGACTCCTTATGTCATGTCGGGTCAGTGACATGTACATACGTCTGCATGGGTAAACTGTTTGAAACGAGTTCAAAAACCTGATGAAGTTTCCGCCAGAATTTGCTGACAGAATGTTCTCCTTTAAACGAGAAAGTGACTCAGCACAGCATTCAGTCCTCTCGATCAGTCATTTTGCTTCTTTTCAAACTGTACAAACCGTAAGTAGGCTGAAGTGAAGCAGTCAAGGGGGGTGACTCATCCTCACAAACAAACCGCAGCAAGGAGTTTCATATGTCTCCCAAGTACCCCCCCTCCGTACATTTTCTCACCAATCGTTCTTGAACCGTAGACTGAGTAACACGACCCAACATCCAGAAGTACTGAGCCTTATTTGACAAGTTTTGATTTTCACGGTGTTTCCTCTTTTTTGTAACTACCTCCGTGTCTTTAGGAACACACTGCAACGAGAACGTGGACGAATGTGAGTCGATGCCTTGTCTCAACGGCGGCAGTTGCATCGATGGCATCAACTCATACACATGCCACTGCTCACCGGGAATCATCGGCACACACTGTGAAAGTAAGCTGAGCAAGTCATGTTTGCATGTAACGATGAGGCTATATCTGAAAACTGAAGAACGGAAATTGTAACACTGGATTTTTGACCCTAGGTGATGTAATGTTGGGAGGGATGTGTGGGCAAGTGATTACTGTTTGTAGTTACTGATCACAAGATCAGGGGTTCGAA